GTCTTCCTGGAGCTGGTGTTGGTGAGATAGTCAGCAGGTTGGATAATATTATGGCAGGTAATGGGAACATGCCCATTATCTGTCTTAGTGCTGGGGGTAATGACATTGGGAAGGGCAGGAGAGAGGAGCTGCCGGATAAGTACAGGTCAGCCATAGAAGTAGTTAGGTCTAAGGGAGGGATCCCAGTCATATGTAGCATCTTGCCTAGAAAGGGAGTGGGCAATGAATGGATGTCTAGGGCAATTGGTATAAATTGCTGGCTAGACAGGTACTGCAAGGAACTTAAAATCCCATTCATTGATAACTGGTACCTATTCTTTGGCAAACGTGATATGTATGCAAGGGATGGGGTTCATCTCTCTGGGGATGGAGTGGTTGTATTTGCCAATTTGATTGAGGTGGCCAGTGATGACTTGTCTAGGAATTTAAACTGATAGATTATAGAGGTATGGGTGTTTATGGGAAACAATCAGGCTGCAGCATTAGGGTTAAAAACAGCAGTTATTACCGGGATACCTCAGGGATATGTTTAAAAGACAATATTCAAAATAAAGTTGATAGTAATGGCAAATCAATTGATCAACAAAGAGAGATAGTAGAGGGCAACGAGTGACTAGCTCCATTAAGGTTTACTATACAAATAGTAGGAGTCTAAGAAATAAGATAGATGAGCCAAGATTACTTGCAAATGCAGGTAATATAGATATTGGTATAACAGAGACTTGGTTCAACCTGAAAGATAGAGAAATGCCTTCTGAATGCAACATACAGGGTTATAAACTATTCCACACTGATAGGGTCAACAGGAAGGGTGGTGGAGTGGCGATGTATGTCAGAGAAAATTTAAATTGTTGTCTTAGACATGATATAAGATTAGAAACATCGAACACAGAATCTGTTTGGCTACAGTTTCTCGAGGGATGTGACAAATTAATTTTGGGTGTGATTTATAGGCCCCCAAACCTTGATAGGGAGTGCAGTAAGCTGTTATGTGACGAAATTCATAAGGCATCTAGATATGAAAATGTTGTGATAATGAGAGATTTTAACTTGAGACAAATTGATTGGAACAATATGACAGGAAATCTAGAGTCTAGTGACTTTCTTGATACGGTTCAGGATTGCTTTTTAGAACAGTTGTGACAGAACCAACTAGAGGAAACAATCTGCTTGACTTGGTTCTTGCCAACAAAGATTCACTAATTAATAATCTTGAGATTAATGATGAGCTTGGGGAAAGTGATCACAAATCACTTAGTTTCAATATATCATGGAATTACCCAGATAACTGCAATCAAATCTCTGTCCCAGACTTCCACTTGTCCGACTTCATGGGACTGAAAAATTACCTGGTTGGGCTAAATTGGGATGACCTGACTATGGGTCAGGTAGGTGATCTTGGTTGCCAATATGACGTTTTTCAGAGCATAGTTCTAGCTGCCCAGACAACTTTTGTTCCAATAAAGTTGGTAGAATTACCGACAATATGTAAAGTAAAAGGACACAAGTGCAACTAATGTGACATTTTATTGTGGCAACGTTTCGCTCTCCAGGAGCTTTATCAAGCCATTACCTTGATAAAGCTCCTGGAGAGCGAAACGTTGCCACAATAAAATGTCACATTAGTTGCACTTATGTCCTTTTACTTTACAACTTTTCTTCCGAGTAGGGAAATTAGATCTAACAAAAACTATCCCAAATGGATGAACAATAGATTAAAACATCTCATTGGTCAAAAGAGAGGCATATATAGGCGTATCAAAAGAGGGGATGGGCAGTTAAGAAATCGATACATTCAATTAAAGAGAGAAATAAAGAAATGAATAAGAAAAGCAAAAAGGGATTATGAGGCTAAGGTCGCAAGGGATTCAAAGATTAACCCAAAAGGGTTCTTTCAGGTAAACAGAAGTAAGATTAGGGACAAGATTGGCCCACTTAAGAGTAACTCTGGTCAGATCACTGACAGTGATAAGAATATGTGTGAAATTCTAAATACCTACTTCCTCTGTTTTCACCCAGGAAAATGCTAGCGATATTCCTGAAATAATAGATTATGTCGAACAGGACGATAATAAATTATGCACGATTGCGGTAACTAGTGACATGGTCCTCAGACAAATAGAGAAGCTAAAACCTAACAAATCCCTAGGCCCTGATGAACTGTTTGTAATGGTGTTAAAGGAATGTAAAGAGGAACTTAGCATACCTTTGGCTAATCTTTTTAACATATCACTACAAACTGGCATAGTGCCTGATAAGTGGAAAATGGCAAATGTAATACCTATTTACAAGGCGGTGACATGTCCTTGGCTTCAAACTAGACCAATAAAACCTACCTCCATAGTGGGAAAATTTATGGAATTTAATAATTGCCGAAGCAATTAGTAGCCATCTTGACAGGCACAGATTGATTAATGAATCTCAAAAACGGTTTTACAAAGGAGCGTTCCTGTCTTACGAATTTACTAACATTTTTTTACTAAGGTGTTTGAGGAGGTAGATTTATGGTAATGAATATGAATTGTGTATATGGACTTCGTAAGACTTTCGATAAAGTTCCACATCAGAAGCTATTGAGGAAACTTAAGGCACACGGAATAGGAGGAGAAATTTTTTCCTGGGTAGAGGCATGGCTGACAAATAGACAGCACAAAGTTTGCATAAATGGGGAGAAATCAGAATGGGGGCACGTCACAAGCGGTGTTCCTCAGGGGTCAGTGTTGGGCCTGTTGTTGTTCACAATTTACATAAACGACATAGATGAGGGAATAAATAGCGACATAAGCAAATTTGCTGATGACACCAAAATAGGCCGTCCAATTCATTCCAATGAGGACACTAGAGCACTCCAGGATGATTTGAATAGACTGATGCAGCTGTCGGAGAAGTGGCAGATGCAGTTTAATATTGACAAATGCAAAGTTCTAAATGTTGGACAGGACAATAACCATGCCACATATAAACTAAACAATGTAGATCTTAATATTACTGATTGCGAAAAGGATTTAGGAGTTCTGGTTAGCAGTAATCTAAAACCAAGACAACAGTGCATTAGTGTTCGCAATAAAGCTAACAGAATTCTTGGCTTCATATCTAGAAGTATAAATAATAGAAGTCCTCAGGTTGTTCTTCAACTCTATATATCCCTGGTTAGGCCTCATTTAGACTATGCCGCTCAGTTTTGGTCACGGTATTACAGAATGGATATAAATGCTCTGGAAAACGTACAGAGGAGGATGACAAAGATGATCCCATGTATCAGAAATCTTCCCTATGAGGATAGACTGAAGCCCTGAATCTGCACTATGAGGATAAACTGAGGGCCCTGAATCTGCACTCTCTCGAAAGGCGTAGAATTAGGGGGGATATGATCGAGGTGTATAAATGGAAAACAGGAATAAATAAACGGGATATAAATAGGGTGCTGAAAATTTCCAGCCAAGACAGGACTCACAGCAATGGTTTCAAGTTGGAAAAATTCAGATTCAGGAAGGATATAGGAAAGCACTGGTTTGGTAATAGAGTTGTGGATGAGTGGAACAAAGTCCCGAGTACAGTTATTCAGGCTAAAACGTTGTGTAGTTTTAAAAATAGGTTAGATAAATACATGAGTGGGTGTGGATGGGTGTGAGTTAGAACTGACTAGCTTGTGCTGCTGGGTCTGGTGCCGTGCTCCTTCCTTGAGTAGAGATGACTAGTCTGGGTGGGTCATTGGGCTAATCCGGGGATGGGTGGGATCATTAGTCTAATATGGGGGGGGGATATGGACCTGCTCCGCATGGGTCAGTAGTGTTCCTTCTTTCTTATGTTCTTATGTAAGAGTCCTCTAAGCAATTCATATTGCTCCCATGTGGTGATGTCAAGAATACTCGCCAGGTAGTAGCTAAGAGCAACATGTTTCCACCATAAATACACGTAGACCTCACTATAAAACGTAGTCCCACACGTCTAACTTCTACAGCAGCGTCAACACCATCCCATGTGGATACTGTCCAATGAAATATGGAGGGGAAACAGGAAAAAATGTTTGAGTCCCCCTGAGCGAACATTGAAACACCAGCAACAGAGACGACTTAAGGTACTGAAGGTACGACTGTGTCCTCCACAGGGACTCCACATTATAATACCACTGTGTCCTCCACGGAGTCCACGTTAAGGTACGACTATGTCCTCCACAGGGAGTCCACGTTAAGGTACAACTGTGTCCTCCACAGGGACTCCACGTTAAGGTACGACTGTCCTCCACAGGGACTCCACGTTAAGGTACACATGTGTCCTCCACAGAGACTCCACGTTAAAGTACGACTGTGTCCTCCACAGTGACTCTACGTTAAGGTACGACTGTGTCCTCCACAGGGACTCCACGTTAAGGTACGACTGTGTCCTCCACAGGGACTCCACGTTAAGGTACGACTGTGTCCTCCACAGGGACTCCACGTTAAGGTACGACTGTGTCCTCCACAGGGACTCCACGTTAAGGTACGACTGTGTCCTCCACAGGGAGTCCACCTTAAGGTACGACTGTGTCCTCCACAGGGACTCCAATGAGACATTTAATCAAATGGAATGAGACACAGGTCGTCCTCACGGAACAAGATCTTTGACGTCGACGATGTCTGGAAGCCTCGCTAATCGCCATCACCACAGAACATAATACTGGAAACTACAAATATCGAAAACGTACATAATACTGAACCAGACAAAGCACCACCTACCTAACAACACAGGTGTCACCTGACCTCATTGTCGACCTGACCTCATCTCAAACACGTCGTTCTTCAAGACACTGTAAATCTCACCTCACTTTCCGCTTATATACTGTTAGAAGTTATCAAGGTCCCAGGACCGAAATGTTTTCTGCATGTCCTAGTGGTTGCTCACATGTGTTTTTAGACCAATTTGTCGGTATAACAAGGTTGATACCACAACACACAGCAAGAAATACAAGATATTTTAATTCAATATTTACAATTTTAATGTTTTTGTATCATCACTAACAGTGTCAAGTTCAGTCTGGAAGAATCTGGAACCAAATATCTGAGGTATGTGTGGTTACCTTTGTTGTGTGTGTGTGTGTGGCGTGTGTGTGTGTGTGTGTGTTGTGTGTGTGTGTGTGTGTGTGTGTGTGTGTGTGTGTGTGTGTGTGTGTATGTGTGTGTGTATGTGTGTGTGTGTGTGTGTGTGTGTGTGTGTGTGTATGTGTGTGTTGTGTGGTCAGTATAAATATCAGTGTTTATATGTTAGTGTGTGATTGTAAGTAAAAGTCGGAGGGTCACATATCCAGTACATGTAAAATTTTTCTCTGGCAATGAATATACATTATATATATATATATATATATTATATATATATATATTTATATATATATATATATATTATATATATTATTCACCTACGAGGCAGGGTGACCCATGGAAGAAGAAACACTGTCACCATCACTCCATCACTGTCTTGCCACAGGGGTGCCGATACCATAGTTCCACACTGTAAGTATCTCTGTCCTTCCTTCAGTGTGCAGACACTGTACTTCCCACCTCCCGTACTGTAACATCCTTCAGAGTGCAGGCACTGTACTTCCCACCTCCAGTACTGTAACATCCTTCAGAGTACAGGCACTGTACTTCCCACCTCCAGTACTGTAACATCCTTCAGAGTGCAGGCACTATACTTCCCACCTCTAGGACTCAAGTCTGGCTGACCGGTTTCTCTGAATTCCTTCATAATTGTTACTTTGCTCACACTCCTACAACACGTTGAGTCATAAAAGCCACTTGCCTCCACTCCTATCTAAAATACTCACACACCCTTGCTGGATGTCTAAGCCCCCTCACACAAAACCTCCTTTACCCTCTCCCTCCAACCTTTACTAGGACAACCCCTACCCCACCTTCCACTACAGATATATTCACTCTCCAAGTCGCCCTATATTGTTCTATCTCTAAATATCTGAACCACGTCAGCAACCCCCTCCTCACCCCTCTGGATAATACTTGTAGTAACCCCACTCCTCCTAATCTCCAAGCTATGGATTACCTGCATTATATTCACACCACACATTGCCCTCAGACATAACATCTCCACTGCCTCCAGCCTTCTCCTTGTTACAACATTCACTGCCCTTGCTTTACATCCTTATAAGAGGTTTGGTATAACTGTACTCTCATGCATTCCCCTCTCTTCTTCCGTGGATAAAGTTTTTTGTCTCCACAGACTCCTCAGTGCATCACTCACCCTTTTTCCCTCTCATCAATTCTTTGATTCACCTCGTCTTTCACAGACCATCTGTTGACACATCCATTCTCAAATATTTGAAATGTTCACTTCCTCCATACTCTTTTCAATCTGATATCCAATCTTTCATTACCAAATTTTTTTATCCTCACCACCTTGTTCTTTCCTGTGTTCACTTTTGATTTCTTTCTTTTACATAACCTCCCAAATTCATCCACTACTGCAACTTCTCTTAGAATCTCCTAAAAACACAGTGTCATCGGCAAAATGTAACTCACTGTAAACACTTGGTCTACACACCACCTACCCTTCCTAAAGCCTCCTTGTTCATCTGCAATCCTGCTCTCCTGTTAATTATTTCAATAATAACTCTACTATACACTTTACCAGGTATACTCAACAGGCTTATTCCCCTATAATTCTTACTGTTTTATCCCCTTTGTCTTTATACAAAGGAACTATGCATGCTTTCTGCCAATCCCTAGGTACCTTACCCTCTTCCATACATTTATTAAATAATAGCACCAACCACTCCAAAACTATATCCCCACCTGCTTTTAACATTTCTATCTTTATCCCATCAATCCCAGCTGCCTTACCCCCTTTCATTTTACCTACTGCCTCACGAACTTCCCCCACACTCACAACTGGCTCTTCCTCACTCCTACAAGATGTTTTACCAGAATTAATTTTTCACGACCCTCAACAAATTGTAGCCAAATAGTCTGTTTTGATGCTTCTAATTATATATCTTGTCTACTGCAACAAATCAAATTATCTCTGACATATATCGCCACTCCACCACCCTTCCTTTGAAATCACAGCTTCCCTATCTTCATCAAGGTTTAACAGTTCCTCAAAATATTCCCTCCATCTTCCTGATACCTCCAACTCTCCATCTAATAACTCACTCCAGGCTTTCTCAACTTATTAATCTCTTGAAAGCTATTTCTTATTCTTGGCAAAATTTGTTGGCAGCATCTCACCCACTCTCTTATTTGCTCTCCTTTTACATTCCTTCACCACTCTCTTAACCTTTCCTTTTCTCTCCATGTGCTTCTCCCTCTTTGCATCGCTTCTGTTTTGTAAAATCCTCTTATATGCTTTCTCTCTCTACCGCATCATTCCACCAATTGCTCTTCTTCCCTCCCGCACCCACTTTCCTGTAACCACAAACTTCTGCTGAACACTCTAACACTGTATTCTTAAATCTACCCCGTACCTCTTCGACCTCATTGCCTGTACTCTTGATAGCACATCTTTCTAAGAATAGTTAATCTACCTTTCACTCTCACTGTAGCTACAACTAAAAAATGATCTGATATATCTGTGGCCCCTCTATAAACATGTACATCCTGATGTCTACCTGTTAGTCTTTTATCTACCAATACGTAGTCCAACAAACAACTGTCATTATGCCCTGTATCATATCTTGTATACTTATCTTCTTTTTTAAATTTTGAATTACCTTTTACCAAATCTCGTTCTGTACAAAGTTCAAAGGCTCCCATTATCCTTTACATCCCCAAACTTGTCTACCACACCCTCTATAGCCATTTCACCCAGTTTAGTATTCACGTCCTCTACCACAGCTTCTCTCACACTTGGTTCAAAACTTCCCAAACACTCGCTTAACATCTTCCAACATCTCTCTCCTCTACACTCCTCTCTTCTCCAGGTGAATATACACTTAATGTAACCCACTTTTCACATTCAACCTTTATTATAATTCACATAATCCTTGAATTTATACATTTATATCCCCTCTTAAATAAGTGACCCTTCAACATTATTGCTACCCCTTCCTTAGCTCTAACTCTCTCAGATACTCCTGACATAATCCCTTTTCTTTCTCTCCACTGAAACTTCTCACCTTCAGCTTTCTTTCGCTTACAGCTAGGACATCCAACTTCTTCCATAACATTGGCAATCATGTCTTATGTGCACAACATCCAGGCACATTCATACATCCTAACTTTTTTAAGATTTTGTTATGTTTACTAACTTCGTGCTCCTGGCAGTGTAGTCGCCTCTTACGACACATTCTCTTACACTGAACAAGACACAGGGTTGTAGTCTGGGTTGTTAGTTGTGTTGTGCATGACACCATGGTTGTAGTCTGGGTTGATACTTGTGGATGACAGCATGGTTGTAGTCTGGGTTGATACTTGTGGATGACAGCATGGTTGTAGTCTGGGTTGATAGTTTGTTGTGGATGACAGCATGGTTGTAGTCTGGGTTGATACTTGTGTTGTGGATGATAGCATGGTTGTAGTCTGGGTTGATAGTTGTGTTGTGGATGACAGCATGGTTGTAGTCTGGGTTGATACCTGTGGATAATAGCATGGTTGTAGTCTGGGTTGATAGTTGTGTTGTGGATAATAGCATGGTTGTAGCTTACATAAGCCTACTAGGATAGTTCTCAAATCCAACCATTCTCAACCAGTTTTCTAACCTGTTCCTTCAACTAACTCCTGGTAGATCATAACCCAACTCGCTCGCTTGGTTACACAACCTATTTTAAAACTAACAATGGACTAACTCTAATCACCCTTGTAATAGATTGCTCTATTTACCATTTGACTGTTAACTTATTAATGCCTCCCTAATTTTCTTTCTAAATCTATTTTCTAATTCTAATTTATTATTCAGTGTTCCTACTGGGTATTGAAAGGGTTTTATTGTGTTTTATCTGTTTTGTTTGTTTTCTTCAGTGACACTCTCGTATTCTTGCTCGTCCACTTGAGTGTGTCCAGGGCGTTCAGTCTGTGGTCGTATGATGAGAGATTTATACATTTGATTAAGTTATCTAAGTGTCAGGGGTCCAAGACTGTTCAACTGCCTCCCAACATACATAAGGATGCTGTATCCTAAGATATAACACAATAAGTGTCAGGGGACCAACACTGTTCAACTGCCTTCCAGCATACATAAGGGGGATTACCAATTGACCCCTGGCTGTCTTCAAGAGGGAGCTGGACAGACACAGTATCTGACCAGCTGACCAGTAATAGCCTGGTTGATCAGGTCCTGATCCACTGGTAGGCCTGGTCATGGACTGGGCTAACTCACGAAATCGTAATGACACGATTGCAAACAAACCATACCACGGGTTGTGGGGGCGTTGACCCCCCCCCCCCAGAACACCCTCCAGGATAATTCCGTTATTGTGTTCTGATACAGAATGATGTAATGTTGGTAAAATTACCGATAATATGTTAGATAAATAAACACAAATGCAACTGATGTGACATTGTATTGTAGCAACGTTTCGCTCTCCAGAAGCTTTGTCAAGCGATTACGAATAAAAAGTGTTATACATAACAGCTTGACAAAGCTCCTGGAGAGCGAAACGTTGCCACAAAATGTCGCATTAGTTGCGACGTTGTCATCTGCAGAACAAGACACAGGATCGTTCCTCAGCTATGTTCACTGTCACGTTTCTATTCACTGAAAATGTAAATGATTGTTGTGGCCGGGTCCTAGCTGGTCTTTAATCTCTGGATGCTTGTAACAAGGTTCTCCTTGTCTGCCAGAACTAAATCACAGTTTATTTCATTTTGATGGTTCTACCACAAGATGTTTTAAACACACACACACGGCCAGAACAACATGTGGAATTACATAGCACAAAGGAACTCCCTCCCCGAATTTTTAGCTTCTCTTCAGGACCTGTCTTCTCACTTAAGGTGTAGCCTCCCCCATATATTCTTCTCGTTTCACTTGTGTATCTGCTGAAGTGGATCCCAGAAGGGGATTGAAATATACAGACCAATTAATATTCTGAGTGTCTTTCTGTTGGTTATTAATA